GAAATTAAGCAATCAATTTAATTTTGAAGGATGTGATTACAGTAAGAACATAACCAATCAAAAATATTCATGAATGAACTACTAGTAACTATCATAGTATTACTATATAAAAGAAACCTACATTCCAATAAGAATGCTTAGTAACATTAACATTTCAGTATCTGATAACAATAATCTTCATTCCTACTTCCCTATACCTTGAATTTCATTCTTATTATTGCCCACTGCTACTCCCTAGACCTCAAAGCATTAATGCATCTGGAACTGCAATTTGTGCCGTCTTCTACAGCATGCAAGTTATCACCACTCAGTTTGTACTACCACGAGCAATGATCTTCAGAATTACCGTATTGCGTTGCATATTCCACCCCACCCAGCTTTATAACCAGATTCTGAAAATTAAAAAAAAAATTTGCATAATTTTCCCCCTTTTAATGCATTTAGAAAATGAATATCCCAAGATTTTAAAATGGATTTATCGAAATAATGATTGTTTTCGTCATACTAACAAAGGCAAACTTTTGTACACTAAAGGTCCCGTTGAATCGTTCTCTTCTAACTGTTGAATATTATGTCAGCCTAATACAAAAAATGATCTATGATAGCGAAAGCAAATACCAACTGCCATTAACGGTGCAATTTTGCCATATCAGCTGCATATTCACCTTCTCTAATTATTTATGTATGATCTGAGGCCTAAGAAGTTGCAAGAACAACAATGAGAATGAGAGAAATTCAAATTATAAAGAAATGAGAAAACTTATTAGATGTTGCAATTATGTGTATTCTTATTGAATTAGAGGTTTTATTTAAAGAAATAATATTGTGATAGTAGTAGTTTATACATGATTACTTTTCATTTGTTATATTCCTACTGTGACTGTGTCCTTTGGAAATTAAATTATTCGTTTAATTTTTCCCTCTCAATTTTCAGAAGATAAAATTAGTAAAAATAAGTGGGAATATGGCATCAAGAGCATTAGATATCCCCATTTTCTTGAAGCTGTTCACTATTATTGTTTCATCAATAATAGGCCATGCACCCAAAATCCACTAGCAAATCAGTTAGTAAGATGAAAACGACCATTATGCAGACGAAAAATTTAGGGTAACTTATTTTGTGAGCGCCTTAAGGAAGACAAACATTACCTAAATCATTAAAACGATTTCAGAATCCTGTTGCTAAAAGAAAGCTAGGGGGAAAATGTTGTCAGAGTCCCAGTGAGTCATTTGGACCAATATGTAATATTGGTTTAGAAATTTAAGGTAATGAATATAATATTTTTCGAATTCTAAAACAGTTCGAGAAATTTATTCAAGTTCTGAATTCTGAATATAAGTATACTGTATATTATATTTAATAACTATGGTGGCTTCATTTATGAAAAGATTTGCATATTGGCTGTTTTTGTACAATGAACCTTCTCTAAGCTAGCTATGCGTGATTCCTGAAGATTTTGGTCTTCATTGATATTGGGCATCTTAGAGAAGTTATGTTTACTAATTAGTTATTTTATGAGGAATGCTGGTTAAATTTAAAAAGTGATTGACTGAGGTAGCTTGTTGTAATGAGACGGTTCACTGTAATCCAATTTTTTAAAGTATTTAAGCTGTTCCTAATTACTTAAGATATTATAAAGAAATATGATTAAAAGTGTTATATAAGCACACGTTTAAAACATCTATTAAAATAATTTTTATAAGTTTTTTAAGAGCATGATTATGATTTTAAAAGAAATGTTTTTTTCTTTATTTAGGAGACATGGTTTACAAAGAGGGGAAAAACCATTCATTTTTTACAAGCAGTCGAAACGAATTTTTATGAAATGTTATATTGTGTTATTTTTTAATTAATTCTTTTTTCAGGTTTTATGTAAAGTTTATGAATTAAGTAATAAATTATTTTACTTTTGTATTTTAATTAGCATATTATTTGCTTCATATCACTTTCCAAATGGTAAATATTAAGCTTAAAGTTTTATTACATATCATGTTTGTAAAAAATTATACGTAAAATTAAAATGCATTAAATTTTAAGCTAAACTGAAGTATTAATTTTTGAAACAAATTTGTTAAAGGCATAATTGTATTAAGCATGAAGAATTTTAATGGAAGCAAGGCTTTAAAAATTAAGGTCAGTTGGTGAAGTTTTATGCTCATTCAAAAAGCATGATATTAGGCTTTTAATGAAAGACTTCTATTTGTTAATTCAAAGGAAATTATTTGAACGTAAGGTAAAAACGTTATGCAGTTACCATCTATTATTTCAAACAATAGCAGACTGTTGACAAACACTGAGTGCAGATAAGAATAAAAAGATTAGTTGGACATTGTAATTCAAGCTTATGAACAAAATTTTGAATTCCTTGTATGTTAACTGAATTCTTTAATTTACTGAAAATGTCATTTTTTAGAAGGAGAGAATATATTTTTGAAACATGAAGAACAGCTGTTCTGAGTTCTTCATAGAAATATTTCACGAAATGTCTTTTATTGTAATAATATGATCATATCAACATGCAACACGTTTACTCATATAAGTTAAATCTAAAGCAACATGTGTCTATTTTAGATAAAATTACTAAAAAGAAAGTTCTAGAACATATCTTAATAATTGACACTAAAACATGCAAATAAAGCATACTGTTTTTTTCAGCTATTTTACAGGCCAAATATAAATTCCAGATGCCTTTCCATTATTTTATGTAAAGGATATACATGTAATTTAATGTAAGGAGTAGCATATTAATTTGAACTTAATTATCAAATTAAGCTCAAATCGATTATTAATCAAAATGATATATATACCTACAGATATCATTGTTTTACTCAAAACATATTAATTTCAATGTATTTTATTATAATAAGCATCATTTTAGGCCAAAAATATATTACTTTTATAGACATATCCTTTAGTATTTCATCTACGAAAAATATATTATACACACATATAATTACTTAATGAGATATTAGAAGGAAATAATCTGAAACCTTTACAGATACAACCATTGGAATTTTACGTAAGAAAAGTATCTTCTACTCACATAATAACTTTCTGTAATAATACAAGCAAATAACATGTAACGGTTACAGATATATCTGTTGAGATTTTACATGAGAAAAACATGTTCTTTTTACATAATTATTTGATGTAATATTACACGCAAATAATCTGTAACCATTACAGATATATCGTTTGGGATTTTACATGAGAAAAATATGTTCTACTTACATAACTATATGCTGTGATATTACAAGAAAAAGATCTGTAACCATTACAGGCAAAACTCTTGTAAAAGTTACAAAGAAAACACCTGTTGCTGTTACTCAAATAACCCATGGCATCCCAGTTTCCATGAGTTTTCTTAGTAACCTTACAGATTTTTTTTACAGTGTATACCCAGACACCACCTTCATGACTATAGCTGCATCGAGAGTTAAACGGGTGGTACCGGATTTTAGTGGGCACCTTGTATATATATATATATATATATATATATATATATATTATATATTGTTACGGAATTTGTATATTGTTACGAAATTAGTTTGTTATTTTTAGTAGAATTAATTAAAAATGCTTTATATGGAAACCTGGAAACGCCGACGCTCTGTCTAGAAGACTTTGCCCAGAAAGCTGTCGAGATCATACTAGGGTAAGAATAGGGGGGAAAGAAGACCACCCGCCTGGCATTACTGCCTTATGGTTTTCGAAGCTTCTTCCGTCGAACCACAAACGATGGCTACTAGCGGCCCAGCCCTGTCCACCGGACAAAATGATAGAATAAAATTACCAGGAGAAACCAAGGAAACGTCCGGGTAGCAAAAAATGTTAGAAAAGGAAACTAAAGCAAACGCCAAAAATACAAACCTGTGTGGCCACAAAGCTGATAATACATTCTTCAGAAAAGGAAAGAGAGAAAAACCAAAGATAATTAAATCAAAATAATGTTGTTAGTTTAATAAACAGAAAAGAGAAGGAAATACAGACATCTACTGACACACGCACAGCAAAAACCCACACAAATAACCACACATAACTACAAAACATAAGTCAAAAACGCAGCCGTTCATATAAAAACACTAGGAAGGGCCAAGAAAAGACACCAACGAGGAGTTCCCAAACTCAATACGAAATTCAAATCTAACTCTAAATACCAACTAGCGGAAAGATCATTTCCGATTTAACCACTGAGACCCTAGTTCTTACAAAATAAATTACAATTCAATTCTAAAATTCAACTCATATGTAAAGATTAAAGTTGGTATCCAAATTACTAATCATAAATTTCTCTAATAATGATCAGCATATTTAAAGCACTGTTTTAACATTGGTTATAATCTCAATGACCTATCATCAAAACTAACAATTAAACATATATAAAATCCTCAATGGTGATCCTATTATTGTGCATGTGTAAATTGTGCATCAACAAAGACAAATCACAAATAAAACTCTTTCGGGTTTAAAATAAAAGAATTTTCAAAGCTTCGGAATAAAATCACTATACATAAGTCATAGAATACAATTCCAATTATACATCTCAGTGATCTGACAGAATAAATGCCATATATCATATATTACAAAGATAAAAAGATAAAATAATATTTTCTGAAAACATTCAGAATATCTAACATAAAATACATATATGACATATCACAAGTAAAATTACAATAAAATCATCAATATTTAATAAAAAAAGTATTATTAAAACTCATTAAAATCGTTTGTAAAAATTTCAAATACACAAGGTAAAAACGCTAAATCACTACTTCTTAAAATTCAACAAACACAATACATAACAGATATATTAAAATACATAAATAAATATATACAGTGGTTAAAATTTACTCATGTTAAAATTCCACATTCTATCTTATTTACATTTATGTAGCCCAGGACGGTCTCCACATATTCCCGTACGTCCAAGAGGTCTCCGTCTTTAATACCATATTCATTCCTTAAGTCTTTAAAGATTTCACATCGGTAAAAATAATGATTAGAGTCTGCAGACCCCACACCTTGCACATAGATCAGTCTCTTGTATACAAAATTTTTTCAAGTAGCTAGGAAATCTGCCATGCCCAGTAAAAAATTGGTTAACATCGATATTACTGTAAAGTGTCATACGTCTCCTGATCTGAAAAAACCGTAGGTGATCTTTATTTCTCTCAGATCCGGACCAATTAAGTTTCCACTCATTCAGACAGTTTTCCAGTATTATTCTATTTGCAATCCTCCTTGAACCGGGAATTTCTATATATTTAGCATGGTCGGACAAAGCAGGTTCCTTCGCCAACACATCAGCTTTCTCATTGGCCACATACCCAGCATGAGCCTTAAACCAATGCAATTTAATCATAGTATGGCCAAAGACATCACCAAACAATTTCTTGATATTAAAAACAGTATAATTGGTTGATATGGGACGACATAAAACCTGTAATAAAGAAAGACAGTCACTGTAAATGTTAACTATAGAAAAACGTGGGGTATTAGATTGAACATACAACAAAGCTTTTTCTAGTGCACAGCATTCGGCCTGAAACACCGAGTTATAAGAATTCATCCTATAGTGCTCGTGATGAATCTCAGTGCCATAGTAAAACACGACAAAGGCTGCGCCAATCTTTCCATCAATGCCTGAGCCATCGGTATAAATATCGAACATATCGGTGGTGGGTAATTCCCTATCAAAATAGCAAACAAGATTGCTTGCAGGATGAACAAGCAGCCTGTCGAATTTTTCAAACACATGTCTAGTTATTAGTTTATCACCATATTACTTGAAATCTAAGTGCCGGCAAGGATGCAAAGGACCTCCGTAGAGACCGTCCTAAAGCTACGTGTCAGGGCCAAGCACCAGCTCCTTTGTATGGTATCTAACTTCATCCGTAGTCGACAGATTTCCCATGCCCTGGAAACCCAGGAGCCTATGCCATACATAGTAATTGGAACAACAACATTCCTGTAAATATCACGAATCGTTTTGCTTTTAAAGTTCTAAGTATGGGCAGAAAAAGAACGCTTATAAAAAAATTAGTATATCGTTAGTCCTCTTGTAAGGATTATGTTAATTTTATTAACAGTTAAATTTTAAGTTAAAATTCCTTTCCTGTCAAATTCTTAACTTCAACTTACTACTTCCGGCCAGAACGTAGTTTTGGAATCTTGCTGAATATTAAATGAGGAGGAGCGGTATTTAAACCACGAAGTTACTTACTGAGTTAGAGAGAATCAGAGTTTCTGATTGACGCGCGTCTGCCTTTTTGGCCACTCTCTCTCTCAAAGCTGTTATTACGCCCGGCCGTATTCAGGCCCTTGCTAAGCTTCGTAGTCAAATAAGTTAAGGGGCCAGCTCAATTTGGAACCTTGATAGCGTCGGCTATACTTCTTTAGTTAATCTTAGTTTTAGTTTAATTCTTAGTCTTTTAAGTTCAAGTCCAAGTGCGGGCTTTGCTTGTACACTCCCAGGTGGAGTTTTGTTAAATCTTATTGGAATAATAAAGGGTTAGTTACCCTTCTATCTTGTTGTTTCTTGTCACCGAACGCAAGCGATTATTCGCTTATCAGTTCTTAGATTCTTCACTTCCAACATTAACTTAGAATTCCAAAGTGAGGAACTCTACACTCTTTTGTACAGCTTTAAAATGTTCAGCAAAAGTAAGTTTAGAATCGATAATGACACCCAAGTATCTCATAGAATCGACAAATTTAATTCCTGAGCCATTAAACCTAAGCTGAGGGATTTCTACACTTTCTTAAACCCTTAGAAAAAAATAAGGTATTAGTCTTCTCTAAACAGAATCGAAGTCCTTCATCAGTTTTCCATTTCTCAAAGCACGGGGCAATTTGTTGAAATAATCTTTCTAATTTCTCTAAAGACTCCTCCTTCAAAAGAACAAGAATATCATCGGCATATGCAACGACCTTAACATTTTCCGGAAAATCAATCTTTAGCGATTTATTTATAATTAGGTTCCAGAACAGGGGTGCACTACAGGAACCCTGCGGACACCCTTTATAAATTTTATCAATGGCATCATCACCATCATCAAAACTTATTCCATTAAATAGAACACTTCTGTTTTCAAAATAAGACATGTAACAGCTAATAATATTATGCGGGATCTGCAAATCAAGTAAAGTGCCCAACAAAGAAGACCAACTAATCGAGTCAAACACTGATGATATATCAAGAGAAAGCGCAACAGCGTGTTTATCAGGTTTGCTTCCCACAATATAGTTGGTAACATCATATAAAGCAGTATCAGTGCTGTGGGCGAGGAAGAAAACCATGTTGATTTCCTCTTAGTCTATTATTTCTCAAAACCCTATATAATATTCTGTTGACCGATATCTTATCAAATACTTTGCCCAGGAAATTCAATAGGACAATAGGACGCTTTTTACCATTAGATTTTGGAATCAATATTAGCCGCCCCACCTTCCAAGCACCAGGAAAAACACAATATACAAAACACTTATTATAAAGAAGATATAAAAATTCAGAGTAAAAATCGTAAAACACTTTTATAAAAACAGCATGTATACCATCCGGTCCAGGAGCGCTTCTGCCACGCAATTCCTGTACTGCCCATAGAATTTCTTCTCGTGTCAACTCTGGATCAAGTAATTCATTTTTTCTCAATTTAATTCTAATATTATACGAGGGTGGAGGATTACTCGTTTGGGATGGAATTATATTGGGCAACAGAACAGATCTGCATGCTCAGATACGATTCATGGTCTGGGAGACATACGATGTATTAACTATCATACCAACCATTAATGTCAAGTTTTGTAATTGCTTCCAAATCGTAGCTTTTACGAATCGTATCGTACATACACCATTTTCTTCGGTTTATCTTTTGTTTAGTAAATGTTCAATAAGTCACTTTTTTTTTGTTTCTGAATCTTTATTTGAAGGAGATGGCATCATCCTTAATTCATGGACATGAGTAGTTCGCTAATCTTTCTTTCCTTTGTGAAAACAACAGCTGTAGATTTGTCTACATTGATTTCCACTTTCCATCGACCGAGATCTTAAGTCTTTGGATGTAGTTTTGTAATGCTTATAATGCTGTTCAAAGAAAAGCATTTTGTGAGAGGATCAGTTGTCTTCCAAGACAACAAAGCCCCTGTTCACACAGCTCACATTGTCCAGGACTGGTTTTCTGAGCACGAGGATGAGTTGTCCCAACTCCCCTGGCCACCACAGTCACCAGACCTGAATATTATCGAACCTTTGTGGTCTACATTGAAACGGAAAGTGCGTTCTCGTTATCCACCGCCAACATCGTTATCTGAACTTGCCACCGTTTTGCAGGAAGAATGGTATAATATTCCCTTGGCAAACATACAGGAACTGTATTTATCCATTCCGAGAAGACTGCAAGCTGTTTTGGATGCCAACGGGTTTCGTACATCATATTAAGCAAAGAAACATGTTTTTTTAAAGGTGTTTCCATATTTTTGTCCAACCCCTGTATATTCACACACCAGCAATAATAAATAAAGCTATTTTCCTTTCAAATTTAATCTGTGTTTTACTGAGTAGCCCAAAGTAAGTAATTGAAAAGCAGTGAATGCTGGTCTTAAAAATATTCTTCTACTTATTAATCAGATTGATTTAAATAAAAATACATTTCAATCGAGAGACGTCTAATTAGAAAGCTTAAATATTTACGTGAAATGCCACTAGCTGGACTCACTTAAAATCATTATTTACTTTTTTCTTCTTTGTCAGAAGTCTTTTAGATGGCTGACCCCTCGAGCGGTTAGTTTCCAAAGAAATAATATAGTCAATATAATCAACAACCTACTCTATAGAGAATTCGAAAGATGTCCTGCTTTTAAATCTTTTGGGATTTTAACCTTGAATTTTATGTAACGTAAGTGCGAAGAAAGCAAAGCTTAATAAAGCTAAAAAGACAAAAAAAAAAGTTCTGTTAGCAGCAGTGAGTCCAAGAGCAGACTGGTAACTTGCGATGCAGACTGCAAAAGCATTAAAAACCGTAAGATATCTTCTAGTGCAGGGGTTCTCAACAGGTGGTGTACGCGTACCATTGGTGCTACGCAAGAGAGAAATAGATGGTAAGCAAAGTATTTTTAACTATTAAATTTAAAAATTAAAAACCCAACATCCTGATTGAGTTTTTTCTCCAACACTCGTAAATTTATGCGATCTGAGCTTTTTTCAAGAGTGGTGGTGGTGGTGGTAGTACTTTGTAGTGGTGGTATTAAAGGCTTTCAATTTTTTGTTTAAATGGTACGCATTCTAGTTAATATCTAAATTCTTTCAAATTTTCTTTTAGTTTTTTTTCTTTCTTTAGTTTGAAAGCATACATTCACCTGAAGGACTTACTTTTCATCCCTTTCATTTAAGGCTATTTCATAAAGCCACAAGCAACTGAAAAATAAAACACATAGACTGAAAAATAAAACAAATCGGAGGATTTTTCGGAGAAAAGAGATTTGTTTGGAGAAAGGAGATGTGAATGCTGTACTCTGAATTTAATTTATAGTAAATTTCCCTTTAGACCGTTGCCACTAATATGATGCAACGAATAACTCAGTTGACAGTAATTAATTGGTAGACATTTTTGAAAAGCAAAATTAATAAAGTATTAAAATAAGGGGGAAAATTAGAAATTTAAAAGACACAGGTAAAATTTTGCTTATGAACATGTACTATATACATTTAGAAAATGATGACTTTTCAGAAAAAAAAAAATAAAAATATTTTGCTGCTCAGAATCATGTGATTTTTATCATAAAAGCCAACGTTTAAAGGTTTCCAAAACCGGTGATTGGTCAGTCGCTTCAAAAGTAAAACAAATGGTCTGCATATTAGAAGAATGAAAATATTTCCAAGTATATCTTTCTGTAGACAAGCCACCTATATTCCCGCATTACGATTGGAACTCGATATTGACTTAATGCGTAGGATCGAAGATGGCGTTCACTTAATATTTTTTGTCAACAGGTTGAAAGACAAAGGTTTTTAGGAAGTCATATTTGGATTTGCTCAAGGATATTTATAAGGATATAACGTCCGTCACCATGCTGTACTCTTGCAAAAGTGTGGCATCATGGTATTTCACGTAGACCCATCCGAAATTTCGTGTATATTCTTGGACAGGAATATTGAAATTAAAGATAACTACCGTTTAAAAATAAATAATGTTGAAACTGATAAATAACTTTAGTCAGGATTTCTGGAAAGAGAGGGCTTTCAAATATCGTCTGCTTAGTTAATGCTTGCACTTGAAAAATATTAAACTGAAGATAGATAGATAACACAACGAGAATCGTCTGTATGTTGTAGAGACATTAGGTATTTTTTTTAAAGCGGACAAGATGAAAAATAGCAAACGCCTTCGCCAGGAATCGAACCACGGACCTCTGGAATACCGGCCCAGCGTGCAGAACCACTACACCACGAAGGACGCTAGGAAAGTGGGAGAAATACCTTATAATGTAATGTCGTTGGAAATTGCAACAGGATAAGTTACTTCAATTTTTGTATAATTAACGACTTTTGTACTTGTACGAAATAAAGGAAATATGGTAGTCGCGAAATATTTCGGGTATCATATTGAAACGAAAACACCCATTTTGACCTTTATCGAATCCATTTGAATGATTGTTTTTACATGAAATCTAACG